AGATCACATCCAGTGAAAGGACCTTTGAAGCTAAGATCACATCCAGTGAAAGGACCTTTGAAGATAAGATCACATCCTAGCGTTGTGACGAGGGATGCTTTTTTTGTGATTGATCCCAAATTGGTACACAAAATGTTGATCCATGATCCAAAAAACTCACGTATTTTGATCCTTAATCCCATAAATAATCCCTTGATCCCTRAATTTATTCATACGATCCCGATACCTCTTCTGTGATCCCTGATTCGTTGATGTGATTCCTGATCCCACATGCCTTGTCACGACCCTGAAAGTATACATAGGACTAACTATTTACCGAGTTAAAATACACCACTAAGAGCCAYCATACTATGAGATGAGCTCTTGAATGATGCATGTTGACTTTGGAGAATTTTGACAGAATCTATTGTGCTATTGCAATTAGAATAATCTTGTATAAGCAGACCTCAGAAACTCAAATCACAATCATTCCCTAGTTACTAAGAATTCACTTGGACCATCATCTTTCTTGTTCTCGATAACACAACCAGAAATGCCTAGGTGTAGGATGTTGAGAAGTAAGTTGATTTACTTTATGAACTTGCTGAAATACAACTGCTTTAAACAAGGCAGTCTTTCTGTTAAAATTCCGTACCAAAACTTCATTTGTGTGCAGTGTATGTTGTCATTGCTTCCAAACCATAAAGCAATCACTACGCAAAGAAAATTCACTTATCAGAAAAAACTGATTTTGAACGTAACACCTAATATTTATTAATATAAAATCTGAACTATTATTATGTCTTTATCTGGGAGGAATTAAGACTTGTGGGGTCATATAAAGTCATTTTATTGAAATCTCAAAACAAGCCAAATTTTATTTCCTTGTCATCGTAAAATTCAGAAAGTGCTTTGTTTGAACTATTTATCGTTTAACGCTATGGTTTTACTTTTCTTACACTAGTTGGTGCTTTTAAAGTCTTCACTGGTAACCTATGGTTGTCAGCCTTCGCTGAGTATGCCGCTACGATGTTCTTCGTCTTCGTCGTGAGTGGTGCTTCACTTCGCTGGGAAGGAACACCTAGTACACTACAGATTTCTCTGGCTGCAGGCTTTGCAATGGCTTCGGCTGTGCAAGCTTTTCGTTGGGTCAGTAGGCCATTGGTTCATGCCAATCCCTGTGTTTCTGTGGCTGCGTTTTTGTCTGGCGACAAGGCGCTYGTTCCTGTGATTATTTACATCTTTGCTCAATGTTTTGGAGGTAAATAAGACGTTCATTTTGCTTAGAAAACGTTTTCAAACAAAATTAAAGAGTTGTAGGCAACTGAAGCAATTGGAAAGGAAGAGTTAGGGCGTTGCRGTCTATATCGTACGATCGACCAAAAAGGGCGAAAACTAAAAACAATCTACTAGCCTTTACTCAGACTTTTCTTTTCTTCCTTCAGCGTATTAAATCCCAGCAAGTATGTCAACTAGTCAGTCAAACCTCATTTTTAGAACCAGTTTATTACAAATGCTTTTTTTCTTTTTCTTGTTAAGGCTATCAAATTAATGGTTATGAGTTACCAAAGTTTGCCAGAATTGAGACAAAATTTAATGTCTAGATTCACGATGATCGTTTTTCGATAAAAATCCGCGACCAAATCGAACCATCGTAAAAATAAACATTCGAACGATTTACAATGTACTACTATATCTCGCGTGATTACATTCTTGAAATTTTAAGTTGAACTAATCTTGGAATCGAGTTAGTCAATGGCTGGACGCCACAATCACTTATATAAGAATTTTTTACACACTGCGGTATTCTTGTTCGCAAACTGAATGAGAATTGACATTAACTTTTTCTTGACTTCGTTCACTTGTGATAACAATATCCATCTTTAACGATAATGGAATGTGTCGGTAACTGAATTAAAAAGTAAACAAATGTGAAAGTGGTTTGATTAGACATGTGTAGAAGCTGTTTCTAGGATAAACCTACCACAGGTAGCCCAAGATATTGTCAAGTTTTAATACGCGCAAGGAAACCGAAAAAAAGACGAATCTTGATTAAAGGGTTTTACCTGCGGTTTATCGCAGAATTCTTCGCTTGCGTGATATGTCATCGCGGCCATGTTGGTGATGTTTAACAAAATATTTTTTCACTAACTTTCTTTCGTTTGTGTCTTTGTTATTTGACTCTCTTGAGAATGCTTGAAATGATTAATTGGGAGAGCTTTAGACAGCCGGTTAAATTAATGCACGAGGTATGGGRAAAAAATGAAGTAAAAGGAAAAGGAAGGAAGGAAGGAAAATATTTTTACCGGGTCGTTTTGTTGTGTTTTAGCCATCACTGGAGCAGGTTTATTGTACGTTCTCAGTCCCGCACACGCCCGCGGGATTCTCGGTGCAACCAACCCTGCTACGGGATTATCGAATCTTCAGGCTCTTGGCACTGAAGCCTTTCTAACGTTTTTCCTGGTCATCACGATGCTTGCCACACTGGACGCCACTAAATATGACCCTTATGCCAGATACGACGCATCTGCTGCTGTTGGCTTGGCAACCGCCACCTGCTATCTGATTGGTGTAAGTAGGACGTTGTCATGGAGATCAGTAGGATTTGGTGCAAATACACCGATCCCGCATTCATTGTTCTACCTCCCTATAGTTACTGTTGCTATGTCGGACAAGCTAAAATGTGTTTTTGATATACGACAGTATCAGAACAGATACTGATTGCTAAAAATTGTAAATAATTGTCTTAGAATATATGTATTCTAAAGGTACTTTGAGCCAAAAATTCAATAGCTACTAAAATATCAAAATCCTATATGAATTCGAGTTTGTTGATCGGACATTCTGTATTCCATTGGGAAACTACCCATTGTTTGGGTRGACACAACATAGCCGGGATCGGTGTATTTGGACACTAAAGAGAAAATAGAAAGTATCTGCTTTAACAGAGGAATGGGTTAATTTTAAGATCAAGTAACTCCTTTTGGTTCTACCATTTCATAAGACTCGTATTTTAACTGTTTACCAGGTCCCATTGACGGGTGCTGGCTTAAACCCTGCGCGATCACTTGGACCGGCGGTTTTTGCCAACACATGGAATGATCATTGGGTAAGTAGAGACAACTAACATTTCCGTTTCACAACAGTAATATAGAAAACAGAAAAATACTTAAAAGTTGGGTTACATTAGCCTGGGAATTAGGGCCGGCGACAAAATTCGCTAAACTTGCTGTGATAGTTTTGAGAGCATCCAAACACAGGCAACCCAATTCTTGCTGCTGTTTGGACTTTGTTAACGAGTATTTTTCGCAGGTTTACTGGTGTGGGCCGCTGGTTGGCGCAGTGTTTGCAGGGTTGATGTACAACATGTTGCTTCATAGTCGATCCGCGTGGGACAAGCATGACCCGCCCAGAGACAGTGATGAGGTTTCATTGACACACTAGTGGACTTGAAGGCCCAAACCCGTTATTTAGTATACGCCTATTTCAAAAAACGTCGTCGGTCGGAGCTCTGAAATCCGAGACAGAGTACGAGCTGCGAAATAAAATATATTCACAGCGGAACAACGTAGTTTTCTTTTGGAATATGAAAAATGACCTTTGAGTTGGAAATGTGATTTTTCGTATTTTAGCCAGAAACTTAAACAAGCACAAAATATCCGTTTAGTCTCAGATGGCCCGTTTCAGATCTCAGACCAATGTTTAATTGAAGTGGGCGTAAAAAGACAGAAAGCTATTGAAAAAGTATTACAACTAATGACAAGTAGCTAGTACACTAATGAAGCTAGGAATGAAGTCTAAGGTCAAAACAGTTGCCATCTTACGCGACCCAATTTTCAGTTGTGAATACCCACCACCTCTAGCAGATATCTTCAAATTTCCCTAAAATGAATAGACCCCTTGCATCACTTTGGAATTTAGCTTAATCTGGGGGACAAAACAATAGGTTCCAATTCTCAGGGGATTGGAATTCTTGTGTTTCCCCCCCAGATTGAGCTGCTTTAACGTCACATGCAAGGGGTCTATTGCAGTAATAAATGTGATATATGTTTATGTGTATACTAAATAACGCATTTCAACAGTTCTTTGAGGGGGAAGGGGTAACAATAAACTTGGGTCCTTATGGTGGACCATTGTTTTGACTTAATTTTTCTGCTCAACCTCGTCCCCAGGGCCCTCTCTCTCCTCGTCGTAAGAGGGTCCTAGAGACGAGCCTGTTTTCTCCTTCAACACCCTTCATAGATTTTTCTTTTCCAGTTATTCTTTTGTGTTTGCTTTATATCAATTACTGGTGTACTTTTAATTATAACTATTTAGATTCATCTTTTACATGCATACACATAATGATAAACAAATCACGTTGTGAAGTACTAATGTATTAATTGTACTAACGTATCTAGTTTGGATCCCTGCTAGCAGTCTCTCGTAGTCGAATCCTGTAAGAGACAGCCTGCGTTGCCGGCGGTCCGTTTTTTTTTTTTG